TTGATGCCCATATCAACACCACCATCGAACAAAAAATAGTTAATATTTATTATTTAATAAATTAAAATTAATTTATAAATTAATATTTTTTAAATATTATAATAATCTATTTTTAAAAAATTACAAATATAAATTAAATCAAATATATATTTTTTGAATATGGAGAATTTGGGGGAAGGGGGAAAATTTTCAAGATTTTGGTAGTTTTAAATTAATTTATAAATTAATATTTTTTAAATATTATAATAATCTATTTTTAAAAAATTACAAATATAAATTAAATCAAATATATATATTTTTTGAATATGGAGAATTTGGGGGAAGGGGGAAAATTTTCAAGATTTTGGTAGTTTTAACAAATGAATTGATGCCCATATCAACACCACCATCGAACAAAAGCTAGAAAACTACACAACTGCTACCACTGAATTCTGGTTTCAAGGATAGTTGCCTATCCTTTCTCTTCTAACCTCTCCCATCAAAAACAACGGAAAGGTTAACACTGTACACTGCCCTCCTTTCACAATTTCAATTTGGCAAGACCCAGCATTTACAGCAATAGAAATCAGATACCCTATCAGATGAATGAACGCATAGAGCATGATTATACAATATATATTGTCTAAGAAATGACAAGGGTATAATACGAATATTTATTTATGAACAGAATGTAGGTAACATAAAAAAATTTTTAATCATACATCATATTTTCGCTTGATTGACAACACCATGCATTCACTTCTCTGATGGCAAGTATAGATGATTTGGTAAAGTTTAACATCTTTTTTTTAGGATAGGATATAAAGTTTCAACATATCATCCTAAAGCATTATATAGCATTGATAACAACACACAGGGTAAAGCCGTTTCATTAGCGGGCAGGCTTGAAGCAGATGCAATCAGGCTCGGCCACCCATGGTTTGCTCCCCAGGAGGAATCATGTCCAGAAGAGGCTGAGCAATAAACGTAGGATGAGGAATACTCCGGCGAATCTCACGTCCTTCCTGGCAAAGGGCACATTGATGGCAGAAGACATGG